TAATAAACAAACCCCGACTTTCTCCCCAGTTCTGTGCTGGGGAGGGGGCGTTGGCTGCAAGCCACAGGGGGCGGGCGAATAGGTAGGGCAGTGACTCTGTGGCCTGCGAGATTCTGGGAGTTGGGGTCCCCCCCATCAAAGGAGCTGCCTCCCCCAAAGTCTAGGCTGGCGGGCCGGTGGCTGCTGGAGGAGGCACCCGGGGTGTGTGTTTGTGTCTTGCGTCTTCCTCCCCCCTTGATACGAACGCCACTCACCCTCTTTTTAAAACCACAAGCCATCTGCAAGTGGAAGTCGAAGGAGGGGCGTTTCGTGGCCCCAAACAACCCAGGGTCTTCCCAGCTCGAGCGAGCCGTGAGTAAAGTTGCCATCTTATTTGGGAGCAGTTCGGCGCCTCTGCTCTTTCCGAACAGGTTTGTGTACGGAGGTGTCGCTCGGAGGACCTTTCTTGGCCTGGCTGGAGAGAAGAAATAAAATAAGATTCTTGGACGTCGTTTCGTCTGTTTAGACTGCTGTTTCAGGGCACAGCAGCAGGGCCCCGTTGAAAGTTGGCAACCTGAAGGGCGCAGAAGTGTGTTCCGGAAATTAATGGATCCTAGCAGGGAAAAGCAGCATCTCCTGCCTGGACCCCATGGGGCTGAAGCTTAGGGATGGAGTGGAAAGCAACTGTTTATGTCAGCAAGCCTCAATATGGTGATTTTGTAATGACTTCCCTGCTGTTTTGGAATTAATTATTTATTGCTATTCATTGAATCGCTCCTCCTCACAGAGGGAGGCCGTCAATAAAATCACCTTTTAAAAGTCTAAAACAATTCAGATATTTTTGAAGTTTATGTTTTAAAAAATTGAAAGTGTTTTAGATTGTTTTTACCTAGAGGACATTTTTTCCAGAAAAAGAAAAGAAAGATAGGAAAGAAAAGAAAAGAAAAGAAAAGAAAGAAAGAAAGAAAGGGAGGGAGGGAGGGAAGAAAGAAAGAAAGAAAGAAAGAAAAGGGGGTAAAGGAACAATTTAAAACAGAGTAACAATTCAACAAAACAAAAAATGCAACAAACTTATTAATGTCTGCATATCAAGCCGGGGTCTCCTCGGCTGCCAAATGCTTGGGTGCACAACCAGATTTTTGCTTGGTATCAAAGCAAAGGCCAGACCGGTGCCAGGTGGGCCTCTAAAGGTCGACCCTTCCACAGCCACAGTGCCACAGATCAGAAAGCTTTTGGTACCTAAGTTTCTGCTGTCCATGGTGGGGCACAGAGCAGCCAACAGCCACAGATTTCAAGGATCCAACTGGGAGGGACTGGGAGGGAGAGAGGATGGCGCTGAATATCCCACTCCCCAGGTGTTTATTCCCCATCTGCATGATTCCACGGGGTGGCTGTATAAGTGTCAAGCAATTAAGTTTCTCCGTACAGCTTCCAGGCTTCTCACTTGACTCTAGATTGCCCTCTTTTGCTCCAGAAGAGAGGAGGGAAAACAATCCAACCAGCAGCTCAGTGGTTTGGGCAACTGGGGTGCATTGCCAGGAGTTGGGAGTTCAATTCCCCAGTGAGCCTCCTCAGTGGTGTGGGCAACTGGGGTGCGTTGCCAGGAGTTGGGAGTTCGATTCCCCAGTGAGCCTCCTAGACAGGAGCTGGACTTGATGATCTACAGGGTCCCTTCCAGCTCTGCAGTTCTAAGGTGACGATGACTGACCAGCATGGAGATGCTGTGTGTGCGGAGGGGGGAAATAAGGGAAGCTCTACCTATTGAATTCCTGCCTGTCCGTGGGCAACTGGGGTGCGTTGCCAGGAGTTGGGAGTTCGATTCCCCAGTGAGCCTCCTAGACAGGAGCTGGACTTGATGATCTACAGGGTCCCTTCCAGCTCTGCAGTTCTAAGGTGACGATGACTGACCAGCATGGAGATGCTGTGTGTGCGGAGGGGGGAAATAAGGGAAGCTCTACCTATTGAATTCCTGCCTGTCCCAATACTATGAAAGGACAGAGGAGGGTATGTTTGGAGTGGGGAGGAAAAGGTACGGTGGCTTCTCTACCCACCTGGTGTTTCTTGGGCCCATTTCCCCCACGACAGAGCTTCTCCCCATCTCTCAAGGAGAGTCTTAGAAAGGGTCTGGCCTGGCACAGATCTGCTGTTTGTTGAGCGGACCTTTTTTTTAATTATAGGAAGGGGAATCCTTGGCTCCCTCTGCTGGGCCACCTGGGTAGCAGTCGAGCGTGTGTGAATGTGTGGTTTTGTCCAGTGCGGAAGAGCTGTCCCACATGAGGGACCGACACGCCTCGAGCGCTTAGCTCCATTAAGGGGTTCTCCAGGTGCAAGACACCGGGTGTTGGGGGGTGTAGACCAAAGATCCTGGACCTATGTTGCTCCGCAATGTATTTGGGGGAAGCGCTTACTGGATCTCCTTGGCAAACCTTTCTTTTATTTGTAGGTCTTTCCGTGTCCTTACACCTGCTCCAGCTTTTGCTCTCCGTGCAGTTCTCTCCTGGGTCCTGCGTAATGGATCCGCTTCCTCTCCTTGGTGCCAGAGATAAACAAGGGGGTCAACTGGCTTGGCTTTTCAAGGCATTTAGCTTCCAGCCGATCATTTTGTTTGAGCGTGGATGGGAAGAGAACATCCATTATGCAGCAGGAGTTTCTGGGCCTTTTGCAGGAAGAAATTCATTTGACCCTGGAGCACAGGGGTGCTATCCTGCCTTCCTCAGCAAGGATCGGCAACACTCCTTTTGGGTCGGTGCCACAATCTCCTTGCAAGGTAGGCCCTTTTCACGAGGACAGCCAGCCCTCTATGGCCCTTTGGTTTGGAAGATGCCGGGGCCTCGCTCTTGGATGATGATGTGAAAAAGAAAGGAGGAAAAGACAGAACCGTGGGACCAGCCCTAGTCTGACTAATCACCCTTTAAACTGCCCTTTACTTTCTCTGGGCTTGCCTTAAGCCCAAATCAGAAGAGCCTGAGTGGTTTTTAAATTGAAACGTAAAAAATAAGATCATTATTGAAATATCAGAATGGTTAAATTTCACAGACTTAAGCTGGAGTTTACATGAATCGGGTCAACTTTCCCATGCCATAACTAGCTCTCCCTGATACGAAGTCATTGTCTTATACAGCCCACACTAAAACCCAGACTCCTTTCCTCCGATGCGATTTAACTGCCTCTCCCTCCATCCTCTTCATCTCTCTGTTATAGATTTCCTGCTGGCTCCTCTGAATTGGCTCTACTTTCTTTCTGTGGCTGCTGGGTGAAATGGGTGAGGGTTCCGTCCCAGATCAGGACCAAGAGTTCCTCTGAGCATGGACAGATCTGACAGCCAGCTTTTGCAAAAGCCGGAAAAGAGGGCTCGATCAGACACTCCACTTTTTATGGCTTCTCCCGTCTTGAAGGCAGGAGAGGCCATAAACAGCCTGGCCATTAACAGCCTGGCGAGAGGCTGTTAATCGACCCCCTCCTCCTGTAGAGGAAGGCAAAAGCTTCATAAACTACCTTTCTGGGTGCCTGGCTGCCATTAATAAAGAGCACAGGGGCAGGGCGTCTTTAAAAAGTTGGCGCCTGAAAGCTTTTGCAAAGCTAGAAAAAGCAATGACATTGATGCCAAATCATCAAATATGTATTCACTTAATTGCAAAAGGCAGATCTGTTGGAAGAGTAGTATTGAAAAGGTTCCTACTTGTTTTGGAGAAGAGATTGTCTCTTAGTTTCTGGGGCCCTCCCAGACCTCACTTCAGCCCCCCCTCTCCCTCCCTCTCCTCCCCCCTTTGGGGAAGGCACCAAGGGACTGGCCACAGCTGTTTGGGGACAGCTTGCCCCCCCTCCTTGGACAGCGACCTGGATTCTGCAAAATCTGTTTTATCTGCATTCTGGTCTGGACGGGCACCATGATTTCCTTTAACATATTAGGAAGCTTGTGGGTCGGTTTACGGGAAGGCAGGCCGGCGCTTACCGAATGGCGGCCAGGCCTGCAGTCCTTCTCCCCTGCAATGCTTAGACAGTTCTCCATGGATCCCCATCCAAACACACAGCTGAGAGCTCTCTCCTTGGCTCTGCCTTGGCTCTCGTAATTCTCAAGAAACAGGGTGAAATATAGTCCAACAACACGTGTTACTTCTCAGCACCCTTTTGCCCAACTGAAGATCTATTCTCTACCTCTGCACTGGCCTTTTATTGGCCAATGTCCAACGGCAGCCCTTTTTAAACGATGGTGTGCTCTAGCGACCTCTTCTCTCGGACTTAGGGATTACATAGGAGTACAAGCAGTTTCTTGCAACATTCTGTTTATCTCTCTTTCGGGCATCAGCTGAAAATGTACAGTTCTTTAATATTATATCTACGGGACGTGGTGGCGCTGCGGGTTAAACTGCAGAAGCCTCTGTGCTGCAAGGTCGGAAGATCAGCTATCGTCAGATCAAATCCACACAACGGAGTGAGTGCCCATCGCTCGTCCCAGCTCCTGCCATGTAAAAATGTGAATAGATAAATAGGTACCACCACGGTGGGAAGGTCACGGCATTCCATGCCTAGTCGCGCTGGCCATGTGACCACAGAAACTGTTTTCAGACAAAAACGCTGGCTCTATGGCTTGGAAACAGAGATGAGCACCACGCCCTAGAGTCAGACACAACTGGACTAAA